CTCTTGTGGCTCTTAAGGTCAGCCTGTTTACCTCTCCCCTTTTATGAATTAGTATTTTTACTTTGATTCCCAAACATAGCTAACCTTCAGAATAATGAATGGGGAAAAATCCCTAGACCTACTCACAGACTTCCTAAGTTATTCTCTCCTAACACTGTTCCAAGCTGTCATCACTATTTGTTAGGCATGGGAGCCTACTGTATGCCACCTCAGTTTGAGCAGGCAGCAAGTGAGCAAAAGAGAGTGCTACCTGATACATGAAGAACAGAGAATGTGTGTTTGTACAGTTATATGATTTTCCTCCTCTAAAACAGCAGTTTATAAACAGCTGAACTCTTGTCTAGCAATCTCAGTCTCTCCATAGTACAGTGTTATAATTCACCTTTTGGTATCTCCTCTGTCTCCAGAAAAGAGACATGCAGTTTCATCTCTGTCTGTCTATCCTCAGCCAAGGCAGGATTAAAATGAAGCTGACTCGAGGGATCCTTTCTCTTGCACACCCAAGTATTGGGAAGCCAGTGCAAAGAAAGGAAAAATGAGTCCTGACCTTGAAAAATGGTACTTTAGTGCAACTCAGATTTCTCTGAAGACCCCCTACACCTCTTCTGCTCTGCCTTCAGATCTGCAGAGGGAAACCAAGGAGCCACTCAGTTTCTTATATTCCCTATCAACTCCTTCCCAGGGCTAAGGACCCAGCTAGGACACTATGGTCCCTTTGGATTACTCTCCAAGTCTTTAAATAGAAGCTGTAGCAGCCCAGGGTTGAGGGTGGAGGAAGGTGTGCATGCAAGGTTCTTGTGCTTTTGAGTTGCAAGGCTTGAAGTGGAGGGATGAGTGAGGTATCTGTAGCTTCAGGTCTGGTCCAGCCACTCTGCCTTCTTGGGGGCCTTGCAGGTGTGAACATCCACAGTGTTTCTGCACTCCTTGCACCGCACTGCACAGCACCAGTGGAATTTGCACTCACACTGGGTGACACGAGTGACCCGCGTTGTATCATACCCTCGGCCGCAGCACATGATTTCACATCCATCTGTTCCTTTAGATGTCTTGCTACAGACGCGGCCTGCAGTGCCTAGGGAACCTGGGTTGGGAGAGGGAGTGAGAACCAAGTTACTTCTCACTGTAGCTCTTCTGGGCAC